TAAATAAAGACAGATCCCTTTGACTTTTTAGTTTAATTGGTACTGAAGAAGCTTTTACTAATTTAGGAGAACAAACACTAGCAGAAAAGTTTCAATATTTGTTCCTTTAATCCAGTTTGAAAAAGCAAAAACATTCTGGAAATGCAGGAAAAGACATGTTTATGTGTCCGCTGGAGACCTAAACACATTTCATCATAAACTCAAAGAATGAATTCAGACAAAGGGAAACTATTTTAAACCATAAGTCTTTTTGGCTCAAATTAATCAAGTTTTATCTAACATCACATCTTTATGCGATAAACTCTGAAAGTGATCTAAACATTTGTTTCATGAATCTAAACCTGTTTTCTGTTTTGCCCTTGTGAGGTGACCTGATCAAAATATTCCAATCATACCAGTAAAATGTTTTATATGCAAACCTCTGTCTTAACTTGTGTTTAAATATATCAGTTTTGCTTATAATTCATAAAGCAAAATACCTGAGACAGAATAGTAAAACTGTCTGTCCTTTTTTTTCTTCTTCCCCCCCCTTTTTTTTTTTGTCTGGAAAGACATTTTCATCAGTGTCTTTGTGCTGGTAATTTACCAATTTGGCAGGTATCAAACATTCCAAGTCATAGAGCGGGATGGAAAACATGTACATCTGTAGGTGATTGCTCCAACAATGAAATGCTCTTAGGAAATTGTTCTGTTTAGTTTTGATCAGTGTGTAATTATTGTGCAAATTGCAGACAACTGCTGACATGTGACAAAGCACCTGCAATTTGCCCGAATAGATGAGAAATTCAAATCTGCTGCAAACAACAAACTAACTGCTCAGAGATTTGAACTGATTGATTGAGGTGTGTGTGTGTGTGGGGGGGGGGTGTCCTCTCATTTTTAAAAAAAATTGAGCTCAAATGAACGCGAAAACACTGTGCGATGCAATTGGGTCGCATATATTTTGCCTGAATGTTGACCTCCTGGAGTGGGTTCAAACAGAGGTTAATGCTTTGTTTTGGTATGCCTGTTGTCACAGCTTATCATATCACCATAATGCACTGAGCTCTTCTTACTATTTTCTATTTTTATCATGTGTTATGACACATTAGTAGATATTAATGAGTTACTGTAAGGCTGAAGGGTGGGATAGATGCTGCCTGTATAGAAATGGTAAAACATTGTTTTCCTTGCGGTTAACAGCCAATCTCTGCCACCAGTGAACAGCCACATTAGTTTATATTTACACAACCTTTATGAGAACTGACATTAAATTTCATCTACATGATGATTTGAAGCTATCAGAGCTCTGCCTAAGGTACAGTCTGCCCTAAAGGTTTTGTTTATATGGCAAAAATTCTTACTTCCTGCTCTACAAATGTGCAGCAATTTTTTCAGGACCCAGTTCCAGGAGGCRAAAGATGCAGAAAACACAGAGAAGCAGGAGAGTCTTACACCCAGCAAGCAAGAAATGGTGCCTTCTTCTCCATCACCAATGCAGTCTAAAGACAAGATAAGATCTGGTAAGGGTGGAGATTCATCCAGCAAAGTTTTAATTACACTACAGTTCTAAAATCCTATCAGTTCCCTGCTGCCAAATATTGAACCTTGGAGAATGTGACTGCCTGCTGAAGAACAAGAACTATACGGACAGGTTCTCTATAAGGATTATTTGATTAGTTGGAAGATTTATGTCTGTGTTTTGTGTGATTTGGATGTCATTTAAGCAGATTTAGATTTTTAGAGCCTGAGCTATGTAAAACAGCAAAAAACTCTATTGTTTTTGACCTAATTATTATTATTATTATTCTCCTGATGGGAGGCTTTTTTCGCTATGTTCTAGTGGGCTGAGATTTATGCAACTTGACAGTTAATTATCAACTAGTGTAAATATTAGGAGGCGGAAAGATCCAGATGTGAGCGTGGCGAATTGACCCTCTAACACCCTCTAAATATCATCCCCTATTATGACTTTAATATACACATGTGAAACYTGGTACATACAGTATGTACATCAGTCCAGTACAAACAAAACTGTTTCCTACAGGAAGTCGACCATTTTGAAAAAATAGACAAATGCTGGTGAATTCTCACATCAGGCCAAACGCTATATGGTACTGAAATTTGAGTGTGTCGACATTAAATTTGGACCAAAGCTTCCTGACAAGATGATGCASAAAAGTTATTAAAAAGTTGTTGGCTAATTTGAACTGCGTCGGCGTGACATTCTTTTGAATACACCCATTTAAACTTGAACACAATTTTGAAGGTAACATCATGAAAATGTACATGATAGATAGATAGATAGATAGGCATCCAGTCCTTAACATGGCCTTATACAAATGCTGTGAATTTACCACTGCACCACCTAGCGGTAGCACAGAAATACCTATCAATGTTTGAAAAACACCTCCCACTCAAAACTTTTATCCTAGCAGCTTCAAAACTGTTGTGTAAAGTTTAGACCCTTTCAGAAACCTGGAAGATATTAATGATTCGCAGCTGCCAAAGGGTGTGACTGGAGCGGCTTAGTAAAGTTGGACTTGTCATGTTTAGTGCACAACTGCCCTTTTTGTACTGTTGTAATTGGCTGTGCTTGCGGCKGCCCGATCCGTCCCGTCAGCTCATTTGCGCATGCGCTAAATGATAAACTTCTGGAATGCACTGGATTTAAGAAAAAATACAGAAAATTGTTATATCCAAACTTTGTTTTTAAAGGTGTGTTAAATTGTGTTCTGAAAGTTTTAATATTGTATACACTTTGATTAATAAAATATAGATTTGTGATACGTACATATTTTTTAATTATAACTTGTGGGACTATTTTCTAGACATCTTCATTTTATTTTTTTTCCTGGAATAAAAATCCTCATCTGTTGCAAAAGTTGCCTTTTCTGTGAAACATTGCAGGTGATGAAAGACTGAAATCAAATTCATTCTGTCATCAGTTTAGCAAAWTGCTACATGCTAAAAACAAACGGTACGTATCGTGCTTCCGGGATGGATTGGGTAGCCACAGTGCTTAACGAAACTTGACCGAAAGACCTGCAACTGCTTTAGCTGGATGTACGCACAATCTGGATTAGCCCAATGTTCAAGGGTCCCTTTATCACTGTTTGCAGTTTTAATTGTTTTTATTGTAAACATTTGCCACTCAATGATAAGTATTAAAATGTTCTGTAATTTCAAGCCAGTAGTTAAGTTTTAAAGAACAATTTGTCCATRCGACTTTATGACTATTAGTTATAAATAGGTTTGAAATTGCTTTTCTTTTTTTCCTAAAGGTAAAAAGAACAGAGAAGCAGCAAAACCCTTTCCTCCAGCAGAACAACTGGAGCCGGTTCTAAACGGCAGCATGGCCATTGGTTCAGTGTCACTGGCTGTAGCCAAAGCTGGGGCACATGTGAGAGGGATTCCCCTTTACAAATACATAGCTGCTCTGAGGAACCAAAAGGTTTGACCAAAACACAAATACACTAAAATAAATAAATTTGTGTTGGTAGATTATTTATTTGTTGTAACAATGCTTCTTGGCAATAAATCTTAAACCATTGCAAATCCTGGTAATTTCCCTTTTAGTTAAATGGTGTCACWTTTGTAAGGAACATGCATTTGTGGGATGAGCAGTAGAGTTGAGTGTGTATATTTGCACATGAAAAATTGCCAATCTTCTCTGACAAAGAGTTTATTTTTTTCTTGCCTCTGACACTTAGCTTCTGGAACCCCCAGGTGCTGGTAATCAGGTAAGATGCATTATCTGCCAAACACAAATTTCCTTACTTTTTGAATAAGTTCAGATTCAAGAATAGTTAATCACACTGAACAGCACTGATTGATTTAAAGCTTTTTGTTCAGGCACAAAAAAAGTTTYGCATTCCTGTTCCCCTGGTAACTCTGCTCAGCTGTGGGAAAACRTCTCCAGGAAAACTCTGTTTATTGGAGGAAATCCTTCTCATACCCAAAACKGGACAAGAAGTCAAACAAGTATTCATCCACAAAAAGATGATTTCTTTTTTAATTCGTTTGTGTATTTGTTTACTAGTTGAGTGGAAGTTAGTTAGCTTTTTTTGTTTATTATTAAGATGATTTTTCTATAAATGGTTGATAAGCTTGCGTTAATAAAACTCACTGACCTAAGAATTTCTTCAACAGACTATCAGCATGACCCTCGAGTTGCAAAAGGAGATGATGAGAATCACGAACGCGTCAACAAAAGCCTCGGTGAGGGACRTCGCTGTATTCTTTGCGAGACGATACACAGAGTTCATGCTAGCTGTTGAAAGGAGAGAAAGTAAAAAGTGATACAGGATTCAAAGCTTTTTTGTTACAGTTTCCTAAATGACGTGTACAGAAAAAGGACATTACCATTTAAACTATATGGCTAGTCTTCTAATGAATTCAGTGCAGGCCAGGAGGAAGTGAAAATGCTTGGTAAAGCATTTAATACTTGTCCTACTTCACCTCTAATTCCTTTCTGTGGCCTTTCTACTCCACACAGAGAATTATTTCCTGCATTGTTCAGTGACCCCCAGAGCTTACATTTATAMCGTGAAGTGGAGGGTTAAGTTGTACACACTTAGCTTCTACATACCTTCCAGTGACCTCATTTAATTCAGCATAAATACATTTAGTTATTGTCACTCGTGTAGCTTTAGCTGAGCTGATTCTGAACGGACAATTCACAGACCTGAGCTCTGAGGAACAATGTTGTTAATGTGTTTTTATTACTGTTGGATCTGTAAAAGCAGTGTACGTGGATTTTATTTGCGAAAGATGAATCTTGTTTGTGCTCCAAGGTCACCAGCGTCTTCGTGAGTGACAGCRGTACGCCAGTTGTGAGCTACGATCGACCCGAGCAGCCTCTAGATCTGATCACTGAGGCCTGCATGAACCTTGAAATGGCACTGGGAACAGACATTTATTTAGTGCTGAACTGTGTTGCCCAGAACCTCGTGGACTATGTAAGTTCACAAAACACATTCAGTGTCCTTGTTACTTTGAAAAACTAATTSTCATGAGGTAAATTACTGCAGCCACAGCAGAAAACAAAGAGATACAGTAATGTCGTCTTGCCTTCAGTCTAAAGGGAAATATGAAGTTGCATCAGGAAGTCTAAAGTCTCCAGATGAATTAGTGGATTTTTACCAAACCCTCATCGGCAAATACCCGGCAGTGGTGGCCCTAATTGATCCATTTAGGAGGGAGGTGAGTTTTAAACATTAYTCATTTTTCAACATTTACATCTTACAACTGCAAACATTTCTTGTTAAAAATAGAAATAAATAATCAGGAAGGCCTTCAGGATTTGACAGCAAGGTAACAAAGTTTGAATCATTCTTGAAAAGTCAGTTTAAAGGACAAGAGAGTTTTACATTTTATGGATTAGTGTGTTCCTTTTTTGTTTACTATAGTTTAACAAACAGATGAAAAAGGCCCAGTTATACATGAATGATCTCTGGAAATGTGGATGTTTTTCTGAAGTTGATAGAATAAAACCATTCAAATTAAAAAGACAAAACCTGTAATTTACCTTCATTAAAATACAAATAATATGTCTAAAAATATCTTATGGATTATTTTTATTACCCATTATTATCAGTCCTGCTCTGCTTGCACACTTGAATTGATCTTCATAATTGTCTTGAAATTCTCTGAAGTTCTGCAATTTTTATTTATGTTAGGATTTTTTTTTAGATGTGCGTTTTTACTGACAGTGTAGGCTTTTGAATGACTGTTTTCACATGGACCAAACTTAAAAATAAAATGGTGGCCCAAGAGGAAGATCAGTTGTTCACCARTCGTGGATCTCAACTTGATTGTTTTATATGTGTTCTTGTGATTTGTAGGACACTGAGCAATGGCAGAAACTCAGCGATGTGATGGGAAATTCATGTTCACTACTGTGTGACATCAGCCATAAGCTACAGCCTCAACATCTGCCTGGAGTCAGAGGATTCATTATTAAACAAGTCAACGAGACAACAGTCAGTGACCTAATCCAATTCACCTCAAAGTACCAAGGTATTTACCCGGGTTAATGAGGAAACATTTGTCATAAATCCTTCCTCTATCAASTATGAGGACAGAAACAGTCTCTAAAATCATCAGAACCCACTTTTTTTGGTTTGTGTTGAATGTGAGTCAAAAGTTTGGTAAACGTTAATGTATAAGCACTCCAGAATTTCTGAGTTTATTTATTTATTTATTTGTTTGTTTGTTTGTTTGTTTGTTTGTTTGTCTTGAACTTGGGATACTTTTTTACAATGACTTTTACAGAGTCATTAGGCCAATTCCAAACAATTTGGAGTCCGTAATTTGACAGCAAGAAAGATTATTCACTGGTGTAAAACATTTAGGAAGAGACATATCAGGCCTTGTTGGCTGGTAGAACTCCAGAGGTATTTGAGAAGTGTCAGCAGGCAAAGCCGGACGCAGCCCTGGCTGTTGCTGAGGCAAAAGCTCGAATGTGGGAGGAGTTCGGTGAGGCCTTGGGGAAAGACTCGATCAGCTCTGAGGAGATTCTGGCAAACCATCCRGCRGCTGAGGCAAGGGGAAGCAGCACTTCACTAACACTATCCTCAGTGAAGGTGGAGTGCTGTCRACCTCAACCAGTGATGTAGTCAGGAGGTTTAATGCTTCTTGGACCTTCTCAGTCCCACTGGCTCGTCTTCCATGGAGGAAGCGGTGAGAGGATTTCGAGGTTGCTCTGTCCATAACTTTGAGCTGAGGTTGACAAAGTTGTTGAAAAGCTCCATGGCAGCAGGGCTYCGGAGGTAGATGAGTTCTGCCCTGATTTCCAATAACAAWAATATCACATGGACATCGGGGGCAGTGCCACTGGATTGGCAGACAGGGGTGGTGGTGCTGATTCCCCTTTTCAAAAATGGGAACTGGAGGGTGTGTTCCAATTACAGGGGTATCACTCTCCTTAGACTCTGCGGTAAGGTCTATTCTGGGGTACTGGAGAAGAGTCCGATTGATGGTCAAATCTCAGATTCAGGAGGAAAAAATGCACGTTCCATCCTGGCCACTGGACCAGCTCTTTACCCTCACTAAGGTCTTCGAGGAGTCATGCAAGTTTGCCTATCCAGTCCACATACTGTATGTTTTGTGGACTTGGAGAAGACATTCACTGGTGTTCCTYGAGGTACAATGTGCAGCACTTTGGTTTGCATTGCCAGTAGTAAGTTGGATCCCTTCAGAGTGAGAATTGGACTCTGCCAAGGCTGCTTGTTGTCACAGATTCTGTTCATTACTGCTTATTTCAGATGACGTTAGCAACATTGTAACATAACCACTATGTTTGTTTTTTTCCTATATAGAATACATTGAAGAAAAAATGTATTATCTGATTTGTATAACAGTTGCTGTTATTTCATTATAAATATATTTCCATATTTCCATTTGTAAAACTGATGTTTGGGCAGGTCATGCTGATTTTTAGGTGTGGCTGAAATTAGTACATAAAAGGGGCATGTGCGTCGGCGCGGAGCGGCGCATTCAGAGAGGAAGACGCTCACCGTCAGATCGTGCAGCGGGAGATTTGATTTGACTGAAAGTTTAAAATAAGTGATCGATAAAAAAAAGGAGAGATTAAAACAGCAGTCAAAGTTTGTCCCAGCGCCACGGATCGTGCGCTGTTTGGAGCTGGATTGGAGCTTGTATCCAGGAAACGCCGACGGGTGCAAGAGGACGCCCATTTACCGGAGGACGCCGACGGTGCGAGAAGACACCACCGGGAGGGAAAGGANTTGCATTGCCAGTAGTAAGTTGGATCCCTTCAGAGTGAGAATTGGACTCTGCCAAGGCTGCTTGTTGTCACAGATTCTGTTCATTACTGCTTATTGCAGATGACGTTAGCAACATTGTGCTCTAATCTTCAACTCTCACTGAAGAGGTTTGCAGCCAAGTGAAAAAGTGAATTGCTTCATGTGGAGGGGTTTGTGTATCTTATTTGTTCATGAGTGATTTGTTAATGAGTGAGGAAAGACTGGAGCGTGAGATTGACAGAMGTATCRATGCAGCTTCTGCAGTTTTGCAGACTCSGTACYGGTCTGTTGTGTTGAAGAAGGAGCTGAGCTTTAATGTAAGAACAAATATTGGAGTAATGAAAATGTGTAATGTTTGGAAATATTTTATTGTGAAAGTTGATGTTTTATTGTGGAAAGAGGTTTCCGGGGGAGAGAGGAAGTTGATGTAAAAACGGGGAGTTCTGTAATGGCGGCTTTGGAGCATGGAAGTAAATTTTCGTCAGTTGAATAAGAGCTCAGTCGTGTCTGTGGATTTATTTCATTTTTCTACAAGAAAGAATCACAATACTGAGAAACCCATGAGCCTTACATTAAGGTGAAGCTCTCTGTTTAACGGCCAGTCTATGTTCCTGCCATTACCTATGGTCACAAACTTTGGGTAGCGACCGAAAGATCGCAGATACATGTAGTCAAAATTAATTTTATTCGCAGGGTAGCTTTGGTCTCCATTRTAAATAGGGTGAGAAGTTCAGTTATCCGAGAGAGACTCAGCRTAGAGCYGCTGCTCCTCCACATCGAGACAAGCCAGWTGAGGTGGTTTGGGTCCCTGGTAAAGATGCCTTCTGGATGTCTCCCTAGGAAGGTGCTCCAGGCATGTCTGACTGGGAGGTGACCCTGGAGAAGACCCARGRCATGCTGGRGAGACTATGTCTCTCTACTGGCCTGGGAACACCCTGGAATCCTCACAGAAGGACTGAAAGAGGCGCATATCAGCACAGATGCCTTGTACCAGCTTTCAGCATGGTGGYGGAGAASTGATGGTTTGGGTTTGTTTTGCAGTGACAGGACCTGGGCATCTTGCAGTCACTTGAGTCATTCATGTACTTGCCTTCAACAACAGGCAATWAAAAGTTCAACTTACAGTAGATCTGTATTCAGAATTCAGTAACACCACTCTTCAGCAAATTATCTGATCATTCTTCTTATTTCATTTAAACAGACAGAAAGCTGAAATGTGATACTCATTTGATAACTGACTTCACAGTTGTAACTTATTCATTTAACTCCACTTTGCATCAACAGTGTTTTTCATCATCCTCTGCTTTCCAGTAAAACTTTTATTTTGGCTTTCAACACTTTTGAAGCAGAAATTGACCTGCTTTCTTGGTTTGACACAATCTTTAAAAAATAGTAAACTTAACTGTATAAGACCTGGAAAAGCCAACGATTTTACCCATTGTTTCAGCTGAGGGCCTGATTATGACAGATACATGCTCATGTGTGGTTTTATTTTTGAACCAAAAATCTACAATTTTATTTGGGCCAAAAAAGTTGCCTTTTTTGTGTACTGATAAATACTGACACTTTCTGTGTACATGTGTGTGTGTGTTTTAACATACAGGTTCAGTGCTGATGGGAACAGCATGCAGTGATCCCTGCACTGATGCATCTTTCTCAGACATGGTAAGTTTGAATGATTAATATTTTTTCAGCACACGTCAAAGAGTGGGTTTACATCTACATATGTTCTGTGAGTTTAACAATATGTAGTTTTGATGTGCTGTTTATGTGCTCTGAAACAAATCCGTGTTGGGTTGATGCTTAGAAGAAATGTCCTAACATTATGGCTATTCTTGCACCATTTCGCAATTGCGGTGTTTCCATTTAGTAAGAAATGCCATTAAAGTCACTCTGAAAATGTTTGTTCTCGCGATAAGTCATTACAAAACATGGCGGCAATGGATGTAAACACATGCATAATTGCTACCATGGCACTAGCGCTCACCATCAAAGGAGACGTCGGCATCTTATCCAGGCTTTCCAGTGACAAGCTCCTCATACTTGGGAGCGACTATGGCTGTGTCCAAAA